CCAAAATATTACAATGTGCCAAGCTTGAACCAAATCGAATACACCCTTCGAGAGTTATAGTGCGCACCATCCAGACGGAAGGACGGGCGGACATCGCCCCCAAATGTCCTGAAACGTATTTGGTCCAAAGAGTCCTAGGGTTGAAACCCGTTATTTGGACTGGGGACGTTTTAACTGTATGAATTGATACATACCCTCTCTAGAAATGTGGCTGAGGGTATAAATATACAAAGTTTTTATTTTTTCTCAGAAAATCCCATCAGCCTTCTTTAAGATGAACCATCGACATTTTTGCAAGAATACCTGTCGACCTACCTAAAAAATCCATATGCTTCAAGAAAATATATCGGGCTTCCATGGGTAGACCTTTTAGTCTTGTATCCGAAAAACATAAAGAACTTCAATAAAAAAAGATTAATTAGGCGGATTATTATAATCACTAGTTTTAGATATGAAGAAAATCCCCAGGTCCTTTATAGGATAATGGAAACTTTCTGGATAAAAAAAATCCGGTTTAATTTTGGTCCCACCCTAATATTCAGAGTAAAAACTACAAAATATTCCTCTGAATGGTCTGAGGGAAAATGTTTGCTTTTTTATTTCCATTTTCTGTCTGTGTGTGTGCCAGTGTGAGGTGATGTTTAAACATAACAATTTTTGCATATCTAAAAATTTATAAGCAAACTTTAGCTTTTATCCTTTAGTCTGACTCGAGACATGTTATCTGCCTAACGTCCGCACGAACACACAGAAACACACACACACACATACAATGCAACATATCTGAAATGCCTACAAAAATGTTGAGGGAATACAAAACAATTTTATATTTTTTGGTAAGTGCGGGAAAAATGATTTCAAGAAGAAAAAAGAGCAACAACAACAAGAGCAAGAAAAGAAAACAACAACAGTTTAAACAAAATAATATGCCTGAACAACATGGAAGAGCAAAGGATTTCAGTTTCCTGGATGTAAAAGTGTTCAACTATTGCCTCTATATTCTCCCCCTCCCGCCCTCAAAATATGACATTCAACACAAAACACGAAAGACATTACGGCTCCTACTCTTCATAACCACACGACAAGTGAATGGGTGTGCGTGTCATATTTTTTTGGAAAATAAAAGAAAACATTTCTCTACTAATGTCATTCGGTAGAGCATTAGGTGAGTATGTGTGGTTGTTGCTCTCTTTCCTTTGCAGCACAAATTGTAGCAATTCTTTTACAAGCAGCTTAATTTTGTTGTGTTAGGTTTTTTTCACTCCACCCTGGCAGAGAGGTCGTTACTGTTCCATTCATGTAATCTCTGGAAACACGTAGCATTGATGATGGACAGACTCGACGGAGAGAAAAAAAACATTTACAGGCGGAATCTTGTATTTGATTTGAACATTAAGTTCAAAGCCACATTTGCAATATGACATGTTTGAAATGGCAACAAAAAAATAAAAATTATATTTAAAAAAAAAAAAACAGCAAATATTAGACATCGTTCAAATGATGTCTCCATTATGTTATTCTGTCGCTTTTCTCTTCATCTCCTTCTTCGTCGTAGTTGTCTTCATTTCGTGAAAAATGAAAAATTACAAAATTATGTTACATTTTGTTATTTGTTTAAGAAAAATTGTTTACATTTGCTTCCTTTTTCATCTTCTTACTCCGCATACTCCGTCAGTGGCAGAGTATGACGAATATGGTGTCATTAATCATACGCAACCACAAGCCACACAACCGAAGCCATGCAGCAATATGTTTGTGACGTTTCTATTCTCCAGTGGCGCGTTTACCTTCGAGAATTGACTGTCTGGCTTAGCTTACAAATTGAGAGTTTGTATGGAACGTATTTTGACAGACATTATGACGAATGATAAATTTCGATGTCAATCTTTAATTATTTCGTACCAAGGTAGAACAAATATAACAGATTGCCAAACAAATAGAAAAAATGAAGTCAATATTTTGTAGGGACTAAATTAGGCGATTAGGGATTGTGGTTTTGGAGGGGGGGATTTATAAAGATAGCAATTTATTTGAAAAAAAATCCGTATGGAAGCTCTACAAAGAGTCTTGGTAAGAGGTTGGTAAAAGACTTGTATTAACAGAACTTTTGTACTTCTAAAATGTATAGAATACCCTTTAGCATCACAGCGGAACGTCACATGTTTATGAGGCGTACGTGCTTCCAAAATATCAGGCTAATCGACTCCTTTTTGTGTTAAATGTCCTTGTACATAATGGGTTTCGAACCCAATTCTTGATGAGTATGTCTGAACGAAATTATATGCATATCTTCTTATAGATCGAAGGTCATTATAAATGAAAATCATTTGGAGCCGTGCGTATAAACAACTTTTTACATTTAAGGTCTTTTAGAAGATGCTGTCGTTTGTGGGGGGTTACCAGAAGGAGTTAAGCTATGTGTTTTACTATTCCATTTCACATAATTTCGGTAGAAATATTGCAAAGTTTGGAAAAATTACAGAAAAAAATTGATATTTTGTGATTTTCGAAAATTTTAATAAAGGATAATTCCTGCGGAAACATTTATTATCGTTAACTCAGAATAATTTCCGAAATTGGTGGATTCAGCGGCTTCGAACATTTTTTTTTTTTTTTTTTTGGAAACTTTTTATGCCCTCATTCATATTGCCCGTCTTTCTGTCTGTCTGAGTGCCTGGTGCGTACAATAACTCTCGAAGGGAGTATCCGATTTGGTCCGAAATTGGTACATCGTAATATTATTACCAAACTTAAATCGAGTTTGGATATGGGCAATATCGGTCCACTCCTTCCGGTACCTCCCGCACAAGAGGTCAAAAAGGTCACAGAGAATAATTTACCTTAAAGAACAAAAACGGATCAAACTTTGCAAATTTTCATATTTGTATCAGGTTCTAGGTCAGATGGGAAAATGGAAAATAATGGCCCACTCCATCAAGCAATTTCCCCACGGAGGGGCCAAATTTTGAATAAACATACACATAAATGAGAAATAATTCTCATTCTCTGGGCTATGGTGGTGACACGCATAGTTTTTGTTTTGTGTTGACGGATCAGGCTCGTAACTGCAGTTGGAGTAGTAATGTAGAGGTAGTCATCGGTAAAATAGCCGACTAACTAACCACCGAGCACCGATGCGAGTTACCGATAATGTACTCCTCGTACACGAACCGAAAACCTGTGAGCCAAACGCCTTTCGCCAGAGTTCCCGATTATTGCCCGAACAGCTGCATCATCTACAAGCCGAATAGGGAAATCAACTACAATCCGAGCGTCATTATCGTGGCCTCCGAACCAATCTTTTCTAAATTTTAAACTTTTTGTAAGTAGCCGTCCTTTGTATGGTGGCTTGAGATTTTCTTGGTGGCTTGAGATCGTAATCCACAGACATCCGACGTCCATTCATCAGATATACCGATCATTTTCCAATCGTCTACAGCCCGAAGATCATCATCGTAATCTCCGGATACCCAAAGTCCATACAGTTCCCAATTTTCTTTAAATCAAATTTTACCCTTTTACACTTCGCATACAAATCACCATCGTAATCCCCGGACATACGTCGTCTACATATCATAATTTGTGATTGTCTACAAATCGCCAAGAAACCAAATAGCAACACTAGCATTCCCGACCGTCGTGAACATTGGATTTCCCATCTTCAATTACACCTGAACATCTATATATTGATTCCCAAATATCTCCGAAGTCAGTTCGCCAACATAACTATTATATCCATATTATCCCTTTTAACCCTGAGTAGACTGTAATAGAGTATTTAAATCAATCATAAACCCCGATTTCACCTCCAGGAAAGGAATAAGTCTACTTTTTTTTTTCATAAGATTTATTGGGTTCTCATGGAGTCCCTGGCAGCGACTGAGCTTACCCCAGTCGACGAGCCAATCACGTAACATATTGTATGGAAAATTTATAATTTTTCAGATGGAGGCTACCGATATGAGATGCTCAAAGTTTTGACCAAATTGGATACTCCTTTTAAGAAGCATTGTGCTCACCAGAAAAAAAAATTGCTGAAACGTAAAAAAAATACTTAAAAATAATCCTTTTATAGCGACAATACCAAAAAGGGGTCAAACATGACCCATGAATGTATGTATACATGTACATGCATATATCTCAAAACATATGGTCATGGCTTGATAAAGATCTTATTTTCAGGTGTCAGTTCGTGGCGGCTCATATTAACATTTGATGAAAAATATTTTTGTCCTGGACGTCATCCTTTTAAAATGGTGCTCTATTGAAGATTTTTACACAAACTAACACAAAGTACGACTTTAACCCATAGCCGTTTAGGGAAATCTTTGACTTTTGAAGTCTTCTAGAACCTATAGTAGAATTTTACGACAAATAATATTGTAGAATATTTTCAGTTGCTACGATTCCGTTTAGGGAGAGTTTTGAGCCATATTTTAAAAAGGAGACCAAAAAGGCGCATTTGTTGACTCACTTGAGAGTTTAAACCAAAAAATCCTCGTATATCTATATACAATATTTCTGAAGACACTATATGCCTAAAATCAACGGATTTCAAGGAATTCTAATTCGAAAATTTCTACAAATGTAGGAGAGGGGGCAACTCCTCCCCTCTATTTAGGCTACCTCGCGATGTAAATTTTCAACATGTCTTTTTTCTACTACTTTCATGATCCGCTAGGTCCCCCCGTTTTTGTGTTGCACGGTGATATTAATAGGAAACGAAAATGTCTTGTGTCCCTATGTGCGTATGAGTAATGAAGGCACAATCATCATACGCCTCCTAGCCAACGATATGCACTAAATTGCCTTCTGAGAAATTACTTTTTCACTAAGAGGAGGATTTTTCATTTCTGACGTGCTACATATGTTTATGTTTAAGGAAACATTTATTTATCAATGAATTCCGAAAATATATAAAAAAAGTTACCCCAATGACTTTTACAAAAGCAAATAAAGAAAAGGAAAAACTAACCAAAAACCATAAATAATATTCTTACCTTTCCAATTAAATTATTAGCATATTCATTTGGATATTACCTAAAAAGAGAGAAGAAAACAAGAAAACCATTAGTTACTATCACTTGAATGATAAGGAAATATTTTCTACAGAAAATGTCAAAAGAAACCATCAAATAATTCATAAAAGAAACATAGAATGACTTAACAAGTCATGTCAATTTGGCCACTAAACATCCATTAGGGCTGGCGGCTACAGTAGCTTTTGCATCTCCCGGGAGATAAATGCTGTTTGACCATTATCTCTCTCTCTCTTCCTTGTCTCATTTTTTGGGTCAATAAAATGTTGTTGGGTCAAACATATTATTTGTGTCACTTCATTTAATATTTAATAAGGCATGGGGATTGTCCCAGAAAGGAGCGAGGAGAAAGAGAGAGAGTGTGTGTGTGTGAGTCTTTGTGTGAGAAAAGCTGTCAGTTAAAGTGAATATTTCCGTTTAACATGTCAAGTGAGTTTCAGTGACCTGTTGTCGTTGTTATTGTTGTTGATGTTACCATTACTGTTGTCTAGTCTGATGTTTTGCAAGGAGAGATGAATGTGTGTGTGTTTGAGTTCGTTTTGCTAGGGAACTTTGTGTTCGAAACATGTGTATGTCGTCATTGTCTGCATACTTGATTTTTTATCTCGTCCCTCTTTTGTCCAAGCCCATCAATGCTGCTGCTGACTTCTACTGCCACAGCCGCTCCTGCTGATGTTGACGTTGATGTCAATAGACTTGTCATACTCAAATTTAGTTTGTCTTGTCATTTAATGTTGCTGAAACTATTAGACTCGTTAAGAGGACTTGACGACGACACGCTTGTATACTGTAGCGCGGTCTTTTCTCTATATGTGTCAATCGCATTTAATGTGAAAGGGGAATTATTTGGAGTGATGGCACAGCGTATGGAACTTTCAGATGCTATGTAAGAGAATTTATCAGAGGAACTAAATATGGTACTAAAGAAGTTTTAACAAAATTATTAGATGAGTAAAAAAATTTTTGACTTATTTTGTCCCTCCTGTCATAAAAATCGGCAAAAAAATCAGCTCCTTTCGAACCGCAAGAAAGGAACATGGATATACAATGACATATTTAGCGTATGTGTACTATTAACTATTATACGCCACCATGGCATATTTTGATCCGTTATATAAAACGTGGACGTCATACGATTTATGCTAGCACTTTAAAATTAAAAATTATTTTGTACTGAGTTATTTCAGAATATGGTAACAAATTGGCTGAACTGAGTTATTTCAGAACATGGTATCAATTTGGCTATATTTTATATCGACATTGGCTTTTTTTGAGGATGTTTGGCCAATTTTTCGCCCATTTAGGTACAGCAGCTGCATAACGAAACAATTCGCCTTAATGTAACATATGACATATGTGATAATTTTTGGAAAATGTTGAAATGAGGTTCCGAAACAGTTGGCCAATATTGACCAATTCGTATCTGACCAAAGACTGATATAAATATTACAACGTGCCAGATTTAGACTATATCGACTACTTCCTATACTTTATATGAGATATGTGAAAATGTTTGGAAAACGTGGAAATATGCGTGCGGTAACAGATATAGCGGACCGAAGTATTCTATTCCATCATCTAATACAGATAAAGATATTGGTATATGCAAAATTTGAAAGAAATCGAACATTTATATCCAATTGTATGCGAAATCATAAATTCCGATATATGACATATTTATATCAGATTTTTGGTTAAGAGAAATATTTAGATATAGCAAGTTGTAAGGAATCGCCAACATGGTTCGCAAGTTATGACAGATATAAGTATTTGAAATTATGACCCTCTGTGGGTGAGGTACCAGAAGCGGTTGGCAGTTATATATCACCATCACATCAGACCTTGGGCTAGTAAAACTAATGTGATGTGTGTAATTTGAGGAGAACTGGATGCTTTTTTGGGGCTTTTATGATCGTTTTGGTTATTCCAAATTTTTAACCCTTTGTGGGGGAGGAACCAGATGGAATGGTCCGATCTCAATATTCTTTAGTTTAACCCTTTGTGGGGGAGGAACCAGATGGAATGGTCCGATCTCTATATTCTTTAGTGTTGATAGAAATATTGATATGTGCCAAGCCTGAATGGAATCCGATGTCAATTTAGTGTTCTATGAGCTTCATTAACATTCAAAATGTTGACCCTTGGTGGGGGAGATACCAGAAGGAGAAGACCGATATATTCCATTTTCAGCGCAGATCTTGTGTTATTATAAATAATGGCATGTGTGAAATATGAAGAGAGCCGGAAACTTATTTTAGATTTTATAATCCCTTTTGGTTACTCAAAACTTTGACCCTTTGTGGGAGAGGTACCAGAAGGTATATTACGATCCCTACAATCTTTATAACAGATCTTGTGTTGACAGAAGTATTAAGACGTGCAAAAGTCTGAATAGAAACGAATGTGCATTTCGTGTTTTATGAGCTTCATGAATACTCAAAATTTTGACCCTTTGTTGGGGAGGTACCAGAAGGAGTGGACCGATATAGTCCATCTTCACTCAAGACCTTGGCTTAATAAAAATATTGTAATGTGTGTAATTTGAAGACAATCGGATACTTACATCACATTTTATAAGATTTATAATTATTCAAAATTTTGACCCTTTGTGGGGGAGTTACTTGATGGAGTGAACCGATATCATCCATTTTCGCACCTGACTTAGCACTGACGAAAATATTAGGACTTTCAAAGTTGGAGGAAAATCGGATTATCCCTTCTCTTTCCGTGCAGCAAAACATTTTTTTTTTAAATTTTCGACATTTTGTGGGGGAGGTACCAGAATGAATGAACCGATATTTTCTATCTCCGATTTCGATCTAAGTTTGATAATAATATTACGATGTATCAAGCTTGGATTGGGTCGGATACTGGATTCGAGAGTCATCGTGTTCACCAGCCAGCTAGACAGAAAGACGGACGGACGAACGGACACCACTAAATCGACTCCAAAATGTCTTGAAATGGATTTGGTCCAAAGAGACCTAGGGTCTAAAACCGTTATTTCGATAAGGAGCGTTTTGGCTGTGCCACTGTGCCTTTCAGGACAATTCTGTCGGAGCAATATTGAACATATATATCACAATATATTCCATATATTAGGCCTGATAAAATAAATTCCGAAGTTAATAGTCGTGACAGAATTATGCGGACCAAGACAATTTCGTGCCCTACTGTGTCTTCCAGGAAAATTTTATTATAAAAATTATTATACAAAACGAAGAAAAATCGGACCCAATACAAAAAATACATATTTTTCATATAAAACGTACACAAAATTGAAATTTTGAAAAAGAATCAAGCACTCCTACAATCAACCCTCCTGGGTATGGAAAGTTATATACATTACTATCAAAATAGTATCATAGAATGGGAAAAAGAATTTGCCCGATTTCTCGTGTGATATTGTAAAAATGATAATTGCATGGTCACTGTGACTTCGGGAAAGCGACGTACAAATAAATGCATTCTGAAAGCATGTAAGTGGTCCCAACTTTAAAACACCTCCCACTGTGAACGTCTCTGTCACCGGAGCTATTCTACTGGAATAATATTGGTCCCAGAGATTAATAAGATTACTAAATGGTATTATAAAATCGATAATATTTGTTAGATATGAAGCTATTAAGGTATTCCTAGCGGAATTCTTGTAAAAGAAAATCAATCTCGGTCAACCGTGCTTCACAAAAAATATATACAGGGTTGCCCATATTCGACGGACCCATCTGACAACGCCATAACTTTTGACAGAGATGTCACATCGCTTAATGACATACCGCGTTTGAAGCGTCAGTCCAAGCAGATTTTTACCATCAACCAATACAGGCCACGCGAGCGCTCTGAAATAGTTGAAATTTACATTTAACAGAAGAAGTCAATTGTGAAAACTCAACGTGCTTTTAAAACATTAAAAAATGTGAGAAGTTCGCCTTCTAAGAACACCATTAAGCGTTTATACGAAAAATTTTCGACTGGTAAGGCTCTTTCTAATCCGAAGAGGCCATATAAAAGTCGACCAAGGCGATCGGCGGAGAATATCGCTGCCGTACGAGCCAGTGTTGAGAGGTCCCCAAGAACATCCTAAAAACGCCGTTCTCAGCAGTTGGGCATGGCTCGGTCCACTTTACAACGGATTATTCGCATTGATTTGCATTTGTTCCCCTACAAAATTCAATTGACGCAAAGAATGTTGCCTGCGGAAAAGCCTCGTCGATTGGAATGGGCCCAAAGGTCCGTCGAATATGGGCAACCCTGTACAGGGGCAAATTTGGAAATTTTCTAGCAATCTCCTGGATAATTCCAGGAGAGACTATGTCCGTGTTTTTGATTAACAGAAATGGTCAGAAAAGTGTCGACAGTATTAGATATTGCAAATGGTCTTCTTGGCAATGAGACTCGTTTTTTAAAAATATCCATCAAATTTAGATCCATTGCGAAGTTCTTTTATACCGCTCGGTTATGATAAAAATCCATCATTGATATAATTTATTGATTATTTCATATCCGCGCCTCAGGCCAAATACATGACCCCCTCCCTCTCACACACACTCACACACAAAATGCTGTTTTACACATAAATGTCATGCTTAATTTATTAATAAGAAGTGAAAGGAAAAAAAATACACTTTATTAAATTCAAAAAAAAATGTTCAACATTACTGACCTATGGCCCCGGGGGTCAATGAAGTAAATAAATATGATTATTAAATTATGATATGTACACTCATACATACATATGTATACATGCATGTGTGTGTGAGTATCAATAATTTTATTTCCGTTTTAATTTATAATTTATGCAAAGGCTGGTATTACACCATACACAGACCCTCCCACCACCACGGGATTACACAATATTTGTGTTTGTGTGAGTAAACGTGTGTGTGTGTGTGTGTGTCAAGACCAAACAAACAACACCCCGTGATTTGGTCACCAATATTTTATTCCATTGTCCAAGCTGTGCCAGCCATATCGACAGCTTGGACATATGATTAATGTTAC